TAAGACACGAGTCAAGGATGAGATGTGGGATGTGATAGCACTGGAGGCACAGATCGCACAGGTATTTGAATATTCATTATTAATAGCAAACTATATAAACTACAATCAGTTGATTCAGTCAGTGATAAATTGCATGAATAAACCGATGCACTCATTAACATTCATATCATACAATCAATGATAACTCAATTGAGCCCAAGTGTGAAAATACAGTTATAATCAGTAATATATGTTTTAGTAATTAGTTGTCTCTAAGGGATTAGTCGCTTAAATCAATAAAAATTAACTATTGTTCCCATGTCTCAAATTTGTGACACTAAATATTGTATTTAATTTATGATATTTTTAAATTAATGAATTTTATATTAACCTATTATTTTTGTGAATGATAGGCTACCCATGACCCGGCTCATGGCGAGAAGAAGCAGTCGTGGTATTTGCATTTGAAAGCATTCGCTGATGTGGCCAATCAAGTGAGTATTACCTCCCGGTCCTCATCGCAACGGATCGGTTATTATTATTATTTACATTGTATGCGAGGACTACTGTTTTATGGCAGAAATTATTAGTACTTTTATTGATTAATGTAAACATATTTTTAATTAATGTATTGCGTCTATAAAAATAAGCTGTTTATTTATGGGAAAAGTATTGCCGAACTATCATACCCTTCGATTGTAATCAAGGTAAACTGTGTGCAATCACTTCACCTTAAACCTCACTTGATTGTGCACTGAATTGAATGAATAAACTAATTTACATTAAATTCACAACATTTAAAATATTTACATTGAATTTAGACAATTTATATCACAATTTTAGAAAATATTAAAATAATATTTACCTGCACTAATAAATTAATTTCACCTAATTTAGTACAGTATATGGTACTAATCAAATAAAAATTATAAATTATATTTTAATTACGAAAACAACAGACGGAAGTCATGGCCTCAAACCAGACCCGTATGGGTCACGACTGGATCCGATTGGCCAACGCTATCGTACAGTTGGACGAGAATATAACGGCCAGGGAGCTGGTTATGGTGGACAACCTCTACTTTATGGGACACATCGATCATATACTCAGTTATGTGAACCAAAATGAGAAGAGGTATGGCTTCAGAACATTTGATACCAGAATATTCTTAACCTATTGACTACATCAGACTATTGGCCAACTATATGCTGTGGAGGGTCGCCCTCCAGGCCCTGTCCACTGGCAGTAAAGAGATGCGCGATATGAGAGACAATCTGCACCGACATCTCTATGGTATCACTGAAAAGATCGCCCGTTGGAAGACATGTCTGTCCCAACTGACGGGTAGTCTTTCGATGGCATTATCATCGCTTTATACCAAACATCACTTTAATAGTACTCTCAAAGAAAAGGTTTGTATTCACAGTATTATAACTTTCGCTACACATTAGAAATAGTGGTCTTAAATATTATTATAAATTGAATTAATTCATAAACTTTTTGATGGTGTCCTGTCACTAGGCAACAGAAATGGTAAACTATCTGAGAGTAGAATTCGATGAAATACTTCATAAAAACGATTGGATGGACAAAGAGACCAAAGCTAACGCCTTCAGAAAGTCTCAGATGATGTCCGCAGTGGTTGGATACCCGGATCAGTTGGCAAACGACACGCTCGTCAACGAACACTATAGGACTGTATGTCATAATTATGATCACTATTTATTTATAATTTGTTAATTATTTAACAAATGAATAATTTTTAGCTAAACTTAACGGACAATAACTTTGATCTGAATATCCGTCGGTTAAGGAATTGGGCCCAAAAACGGGAGTTCGAGAAATTGCGGGAAATTAATGACCCCCAGGAGTATGTCTTACTTATCAGTATACTTATAACTATACTTTTTAGTAACAATTCAATAATACAGTAAATTATAAATCCAAGGTATTAAAATAGAC